AAAGTACTCAAATTAACTTTTAAAAAAAAGTAACTAAATGTTATAAATCTATAAAAAAGTTACTCCTTTCCATGGGCCACTTAGCAAAACAATGAAACATCAAATTTAATAATAATTTGAAAAATAATAGCACAAATAATATTAATTATTAAATTAAGTGCATGGGGTTGCGGTGCTTCTGGGAAAAACAACGCAGGGGTCCATACACTCAGAGATATAAAACAAAAATTAATCAATTAATAAATTAAATTTAAATGTGAAACCCGACTACTTGGACCTGCCGTGGGGGGTAGGCGGCAGGAACGTAGCTTCAAACGCGCAATTTTCATCATAATCGGTTGTTTTTTGATAATTAAAAAAAAAAGTGAACCATGTACTCGAAATAACGCAAAATGGTAAATGAAAAATTACTTTTAACACTATATCAAATAAACTAAGTTACAATTAATAACAAAAAAGTTTAATGCACAATAAGCCTCCGAACTTATTATTCACTGCACATAACACTGTTGGCACTGTATAAAATCTGAAAAGAAACGAACTACATTAAAAATTAATTAAACGACTACATTATAATTATAACAAGTCAATTGCAAATAATTCCAACATAAGTTTAAATATAAATTTTAATGTTGTAATAGTTTTCTAATTCTAATCTTTTTTTCATTATTATTGACTTTGTAGTCAAATATATTAGCCATTTTCAATTAAAATGATTTTGTACAATTATTGCAATATTCATAGTTTATTGTTATAAGACTTAATAAAATTTATACATATACTGCATATGTTCTTATTTATATTTGTCATTTAATAATTCAATATTTAAATCAAAATGTGTATTCAAAAAAATTATATAAAATTGAATTTTATGTCATAAAATCATACCTAAATTCTACATTTGGAATTATTTATATTTATATAATATAAAATATATACAATATACATTACATAACATATGTACAGACATATACCTATATATATGTACTTGCGCTTTGATTTGATTTATTTTTATTGAATTATAATTTAAAAAAAAATTGAAAACCGTTTTTATTTATATTATTGGATTTACATTATTTTCTATATTTTAATATAATTTTGGCCGAAGAGTTATTTCGAAACCATTACATCAACTCTTTGGCAAAAATTATTTTGAAATAGAAAAAATAACATAAATCGATTTATATAAATAATGAGCAGTTTCCATTTTTTTATTTATAATTCACTAAATAAAATTAAATAAATCAAAACACAAGGAAACACCATGCATTTCAAGAAACTGAATATATGACTTTTTTTTAGAAATTACTTGAAAAAAGTTTTAGAATAATATTAATTATTATAAATGACTTACCATTCACTGTGGTATCTCCACGAGGTCCCAACACAAAATGACTTAACATGGTTTTTGTGCCAGCTTTTATGGGGGCAAAAAGGCGCCAAAACAATATAAATCGTTACCCGTAACTAGTTTTTGTCGTTACCTACATATTCAAATTCAAATCTTATATTTTTGTCATAGATTGTTATCAATGATAATATCATTTATCTTTGGTTGTTGTCTTATCAATAAATAGTTTTGGGTATTAGGCAATTGATAGCGCTAGTGTTGGCAAAATCACAGATAACCTGTCATTGTTTATTTACATTTGAATTTTTGAAGAAAATAAACATAAATTCAGTCGTAAAAGATTCTGAATATGTTTTGGAAAGATTATAGTGATTATATGGATCATAATTTAGTACATTTATATAAAGTGAACCTCTGGGTTTTCCTTTTGAATTTCTATGTTATTTCTTTCTATGTAGACAGATTGTAATTTATAAGAAAATAAAAAAAATAAAAAATGGCTACATGAAAAATTTGTGTACTTGGTATGAAATTATATATCTAAATATATCTCGTATATACTAAAATTGAAATTAAATTTATTCAAGTGTTCTATTATATATGTGGGAGTTGTAATGATTATGATAATATATTAAATTAGAAACTCCCAACATAAAAAATATATCAAATTTATTGACTATAAAAAATATTACGATATCAAAAATATACATGACAAGTACCATTGTTTTTTTATAAATCATCGCCAGCCTGCTTGATCTCCCCACATATATGTATATATACCTATTTATGCAGTGCTGGATTTACAGTAGGGGCAGTCGGGGCTACTGCCCAGGGCGGCAAATATTGGATAGTGAGAAGAAAATTCTATACTATATTTACCTCATTTTTTTAATAACATTTTTAATTTCAAGAAATATAATTAACAAAACATTATACAAATGCAATGTAAAATTTGTTAATTTGGCTAATATAAAGATTCGTAAGTGAGTTGAATGTTTAAGAAAAATATGTTCTTGATGATGATGATGAAAAATATGTTCTTCTCGATGATGAATTTGTGCACTTCCAAATATAATATAAGATAAAAATTGAATTAAAAAAAACTTTTTTTTATATTTCGAATTTTTTTGAAAATTATTAATTAATTTGAAAATTATTATTATTGGTTTTATTTATTAAACTTATTAAAATCAAATTTTATTTGAATAATTCGATTTCTATTGATAGCGAGACGTGCTGATTAGTTATTGGCCAAGACAGGTTCAACTGTTTCGGAAATACGGGCCAAAATTCTAAAAATAATCATTCATTTTTTGAGAAACGGAACGTCCAATATCATTAAAAGAAATTTGCATATATAGACAAATGGAGAACTGATTAAATTTGTGGGAGGCAGGTCTAGCGATTTCGGTGATCCAATAAAAAAAATTGAAAGAGAAACATTTGGCGGTCAAAAATGATCATTAGCCATATGCACATCAAATTATCAGATATTTTAATAATATAAATTTTGTTCACATTTCTATGGGTTCTGTAAAATTATTTATCTGTTATTCTGCGAGGCGGCGCTTACGCGCTTCTTTATTTTGTCTGTACGCAGCTGAAGCAGGCCGATCGCTTCCGAATTTTTTGTTTTAATTTTAATTTTTCGTACGGGAAGTTTTAGCAATTTATCTTAAGGCACGATGCCAAGCACCACTGTTTACACTATGTAATGCGTAATAAATTTTCTGCAATCAAATAGTTATTTTAATTTTAGAAAAATGATATATATAAACTATTTTAAGTAAAAATTTAGGGATGGGGCGGCATTTTTGTCAGTGCCCCAGGGCGCCAAATTTCTAAATCCGGCCCTGTATATATATATATATATATATATATATATATATCAATAAGGGTTTCTTTTCCAAACAATTAATCCAATAAATAAAAAAACAAGTTTTTTCGTAGATGCTTAATTACGACGTTTTGGAAATAGGTACGTTCCATCATCAGATTCTTCTGTCAAGAACAATATTCAAATATATAGAACAACAGTATATTAATAATGGTGATCACAGAATATTTTTTTATAAAGGAATGGATTATGCACATTTTTGTTAAAAAATTAAATATAAACAAATAAATTGAGAAACAAAAAATATTTACCTGCAATATTGATTTATATATCCATATCCATATATCCATATATATACATATACTAGACCGGTGGTAAATTAATTCTGATAAAATAAAACTATTTACATTGAATTTTTATTTATTTTTATCATTAAATAATACAACACCCATATTGTAGATGTTTTTGTTTTAATTTTTGCTATAGTTGGAAGTTGTTTGAAGACTATATTACAATTTTATAGCTATAAAATATTTCAGCGCTAAAGTATAAATCTTAATTATCAATGATTTTTGGACCACTTTATTAATAACATACTTTCGATTAGATTCTTGTATATATTATACGTTATATACAAATATATATTTTAGCTATATGACTATATATTGTATTTACACGTCTTGGAATAGAATATTGCGATAAGTTTTACATTTGAATTATTGCGTATATGGATATAATTTTTTAATTATATTTTGATATGATTATGATTGCATTATTTTTTGATAATATGCCTTGAATTTTTTGTAATAATCAAGCAATTTGAAATTTCATCATTTATGTACACTCACTCTACATCATGGTCCCGCTACTTTTACTTTATAATATGTATTATTCTTGATTTCCTAAAATCTCTATCAGTCATGGTAAGCATTTGCAAAAAGCTATCATTTTACTCAAGAGTTGCAAGCTTTCCAGAGTTTAACCCTCAGAAACTCGCATATATAAAAATATGCCTTCGAGAATCACCCATGAATTATTTTTCCTCATTAACGAGTGTTTCAAATTACTTTATGGCAGAATAAAAATATAGACAAAATGTAATATTGATAAAAACATCACGATGCACTGCAGTATGAAAACGAACCTTGACAGCATATAAACATATATTTTTATATGTTGAGAACTTTGATACTATATTTATGTCATAGTTAATTTATTTTGTCAACGAGTTAACAGAATAAATTTGATGCACATATATTTTATGATTCACATGTATTTTACTTCAAGTTTGAAGATTTACGTCCATTCAATATATCAGTGAAGGCAACCATGTTAATATATCTCCTATTAGTTAAATAAAAACTATAATAATCCTTAAATTTTATGTTTAAAGCTTTATCTAATATCTGTAAATTATTGCGAATTTGCAGATCGCAAGTTTATAGTCATTTAAATTTGTTCTATAATGATAGTAGAATAAGAATTATGCCAGTCTCAATTATATTTTGATTAGAATTTAATTAGTTTTCTTTGACTAACTTATACAGTGTTATGTATATTTATATGATAGATTTAAATCAAGTTTGTCATAATAGCTAGATTCATCACACGTAATGTACATTTATACCATATTTTGTCATACGTAGTGTAATAAAACGTATCGCAATCACAGTGAGCTTTTTAAATTCACAGATATATGTAACAGATATAAATATGTGCATATAAAATTTTTATATTAGAAATATACATGAAAAATATCAAAAGATGAGTTCATCAGTGTTTAAAATAATTATTTCTTCAAAATACCTCTTATTCTATTACCCCACATAAGGTGATATCATACTATTGTTCCTTTAAGACTTCTTGCATCTTGCGCAGGAGTATTATCTTGGGCTCTTTGATTAGAAGACCCAATTTGATTACCTAAGTTAGAACCAAGAATGCATTGCCGACTTGATAGGCAATCGGATTTCATATCAAAATTTGTTCGCATACATTCTAAATCACAATCGCGAATATTTTGTTCACTTCTTGAAAAATTTGATGAAATTAACCGATTATCGCACAGAGCATTTTCGATCGTTCCGTCCATAACACTCTGACCCATACATGATTTGATATTGTTTAAAGAACAACCTATTTCACTGTGAGGTGATAACAAATTACTTTCCTTCACGCCCATGCGTTCTGCAAATGTTAGATCTCTAACTGAAAAGTTTTGACCCGAAAAACATTTTCCATCTGATGATGGAGGTGATAACAAATTATGTTGGGAAATATTTGAATCTATTAGATTTGATTTTTGTAAACCATTGTTTGAGTGCTCTAACCTTGTTTCGTTCATAGCATTGCTGTCTTTCAAAAGATCAGTTGAATTAAAAGAACAATCAATGCGTTGTGAAGAGTGACTGGTTCTTAAATAACACTGGTCTGCTTCGTTATCAGATCCTAAACTGTCCATTCGTTTATGAGATAATGACGGTGAGGAAGTTAAACCACGTAAAGAATTTTTTCGATATAATCTTCCGGCTTGTTCGAATGTCTCGTCTGGAGGAGATACTTTTAATCCTATATTTGTATTGAAGGCGATTTTTATCGGAGTTGTGCTATTTATTCCTCTTGTATGAGTGTTAAAATGATTTATACCCAACTCATCCAAACTGCTTTTCCTTCTAGATACTGCTCCTTTCTCCATCGAAATACCCAATTCATTTGCTCCGCATCTTAGACCATTTGTTTCTTCTGCAATTCCATAGGACCACCCCTGCCTTAGGCTGTTTGACCTTCTGAGTAAAATGTCATCTCCGACTCTTAGGCTGTTGGATCGTCCTCGAGCTTTACCAACGATTGTAGGGCTGTCTGGCAAGGATAACGAATTTGCTTTGAGTGTCGTTAAAGATGGGGGATGGGGAATAGGATGACATCCTATAGTAGATCCCCTCCTACTTCCCGCAGCAGCTGCGGCCTAAATACGGTGATAAAATCAACAGTTATTAGAAGTTTTTTTTTATCAAAATACATGAATCATAACTATTACGTTTAAGAAAGCACAATTACGACGTAACATATACCAACGGTTTTTTAATTTTATATGAAGACGAGATAACTCACCATAGTTTGTGAACAAAAACTGATATTGGATTTTCTTCTGCTGTTGTGTCGTTCAAATGTTTTTTGAGCAGAAAATGGGCTAGGTCTCACAAGATATCTGATAAAGAAAACAGTTTAAACAATTAAACTATACCCACTGTAATTTGTTTAGGGCTCTTTGAAAAATTACAAATTATATTTTAGAATTTCCTATCAACTAAATATTTAATTATCTTATTAGAAACGGCTTTATCCGAAATAATCAGAAAACGTTTAAAAAAGAAAAAGTATTGCGAGTACACGCTTCCAGAACGTGTGAACTTTTTGTAAATTGAAGAACTAAATTTACAATGAAACAGAGATAAAGTGGACATAATATAAAAAGTATGTTAAAATAGTTGAATTCGTTATACACATGATTCATTATCTTAATATAATAATAGAATTACTAACATTATGTCACCTTCTTCTAGTTTTAGATCACTACTTGGATTAATTATCACGTATGAAAGACTGTGACGCTTGTCGCTGACATCATCGTAATCAGCTCCTGGTAGATTGAGCGATTCCATTCGAGATCGTACTAAATTTGCGATTTCAGCTCGTTCTATTTGCTGTACATGATTATCCCGACTTTCACTATCAGCCATATTTATTGAATACTGAAATAATATAAGACCAAGAGTGTATTTCGAAAAATTACAATTTAGAACACAATAAAATTACTACTGTATGATTCGGATAATGCGAGTAATTGATTTTATTTTGATAAGATCTAAAAGATAATCAAAATTTCGCATGAATTTATATCCTTTGTTAGTCAGTTATAGACTGCCCCTAATGTAATTCGAAGCCGATTCTGAGTTACGAGTTCGAAGGACGAATGTGCTTGAAATCTACAGGGATGGTATACCAGAAGAATCAATATCAGCTAAAAGCCAGGTCGCTAAGGTACAGTCTTGTTCCTCAACCACACGTAAATACTTTTATATGCGTAAAGACGTAAGTGATTAGTCATATTTCATCGTATATAACTATATTATCCCGTCACATATAATTATAAGCAACTCAGAGAGGAAGATTAAGGAGTGTTTAAGTGATCTTTTTAGGTAGATGGAAGATATTGCACCCAACAAGAAAAAATAAAAGAGAAAATAACAATTGTTTAATACAGACCCATATAATTGAATTTTATTATTGACTCACAATTGAGCTCGATTTATAGCTTTTACATCCAGCGAGGCAACTCGCAGGTGCAGATTCCTGTGGTCTGTGGTAGAGTGCATTCGAGGAGCGTCCAACTTTAGCCCTTGATTTTCGATGGACCGTCGTCGTCTTTTTATCTTCACCCTTCTCATCTTCATTACTTAACTGTTGTATTTTTTCACAAAAATATAAATTATAAAAACTATTATTATAGAGTAGACTATTTGGGAACATATAACAACATTGTTGCGATTTCGTATTTTTCAACGAAATTTCTATTTCGTAGATAAGTAATAATATGATACGCTTAATAAATAAATTAAAATTTAAAATAAAAATGTTACAATAAACAATGATAAATTAAACCTATAAAACAAATAAAATCGTACATTTTTAATTGAATAACTTTTTTCAGAAAAATTTCGATTTAAAACAAATATTACTAATGGTTTTTTAAATTTATATATGAAGAATATCTGCATTAGTTTTTACCATATTCAAGTTTTACCATTGTTTGAAATTTTTGTTTTTTTTTTAAATTTCCATACATACAAGAATAAATAATATTACGATAGCATTAATTTCAATTATTGACCTCACACACAGACCTGTTTTCTTTCATGTTTGTCATGGACTTGTCAAAAATATCAAATTTTTGAATTTCAAGTAAAATCTAAAACATTTCAATCATTAACTTACATGAGATATATCACATTGACTTGTGTCTTGCGTTCTGTAAATTCCAATCGGAATTTCACAAGTAGTGGAACAAAGTTTTTGGTAAAGCCGGCCGTAAGTGCGGATCCACATGTCATCTTTTGTTATTTTTATCTGAAGTTTAAACAAATCAACTTTATTTACACCATTTTGATTATGAATTCAACTCGACTTACAGAAGTAAGAAATCCAGAACCTGGAGCCTGATCTATGCCTAATAATAGTCTTACAAATGTGATAACGTAGTCTTTAACAAAGGCCTGGTATAGAAGCGTATCGAGCATAGAGGCACTGAAGACTGAACCGGCCGCGAAAGGCAAGCGGAACATGTAGGATATGTGCGAGCCGCGCTCCTTCTCGCGCTGAAATAAACGAACCATTATATTATATTATATTATATTACATATAAATTTAAGAACTTAAACTAGCTGTAAGTGGAAATCTGTCTTAATGCAATTAAGGCATCGTGCCTTAAGGCAAATTGCTGGAACTTCCCGTACCAAAAATTATTTTTTTTTAATAAGATTAACATTTTTGAAAAAAAATTACTCTGAAAAAATAGATTTTTGAGAAACTATAAATTTTTGACAAAAACTGACTTTTTGTTGAGAAATTTATTTCTAAATATTTTGGAAATTTTGAACTTTTTTTCAAAGCAATTCTACTGCTTTAAATGCATAGAGACTAAATATCGAAGCGCGTAAGCGCCGCGTCGCCGTCTAACGGATAAACATTGGTACGGAACCCATAGGAATGTAAACAAAATTTATACTTATTGTTAAAATCTCTATAAAATATCTGATAATTTGATGTGCATATGTCTAAAGCCGGCCACAGACGTAACTGTATACTTGCGCAACTGAATGAATGCGCAACCAGGCGTATTTTCACAGCGCCCACAGACGGTTCAAGTTTATGTTCAAGTACTTGCGCAAGCATATCACAAATGTCAAATAATAAATGTCAAAACATAACCTAAAAATATATTTTTTTTATTAATTTATGTATTTACAGCATCAGAAGAGAATTCAAAGTGTTCAGAGGGCTAATTTAATAACTTTTAATTGTCGATAACTTCATAAACTTGTATTATGAATTCGCTACAAAGTAAAATAAAAACGGGACATGTGCTGCCACACGCGGCCAACGAATGAACTTGCCGACTTGAATGGTTGCGCAATTAAAATAATGAAAAAGTGCTCATGCCTACTCGCTTGCACCAGTCTGTCAAGTTGCGCAAAAAACACGCCACAGACGCTACAGAACACATGTGCAAGTCGCAGGTTGCGCAAGTATACAGTTACGTCTGTGGCCGGCTTAATGTCTAATGATTATTGTTGACCGCCAAATGGTATTTTTTTTAGTTTTTTTTACTAGATCTCCGAAACCGCTAGACCTATTTTCGTGAAAATTTGATAAGTGTTCATCTTGTACGCACACACACACATACATCAATTTTCTCCAAGGTATGCCAACATATTCAGAAACCTTTGAAACGTAAAGATATATAAAAATTTTCATTTTCGATTTTTTTGCGATTACTATATCTTACCCTACGCAGAGTTAATTATAAATAAATCAATTTATAATCTCCAGAACATTAACAATCGTCATTTCATTTCGAATCAAGTTTCAAAAAAAAAAATAGTTGCCAAATTTACACAAAATTGAAAAAGTGCTCCGCATAGTCACAGTCTAAACGCATTTGCAAATAATTATGTGCGACTTTTTCACTTATACTGGGCTTAGCTCGGCGGCATTTTCACATTTTTCAATGATTTTCATAAAATTTGAAAAGTGCTCCAGTACATAAACAGTCTAAACGCACTTGCGTAAACATTTGTACCAGAGTGGCGCTTAGACTGTGCTTAGCCTGGGTGATTTTTTGAATTTTTAATCCAAAATTACAAAAAAATTTTTTTGAAAAAAAAATTCGAAACAAAAAATTTTTTTTTCCAAAATAAATTATTTTGTTGAAACAAGCAAAAAGTTCTTTGAATCATTTAAATCGGACGCTTAGTTCTCTCAAAAACTGCCATTTTTTTAACATTTCGCTCTGTATCTCCGAAACCGCTGGGCCTACCTTTGCCAAAAACTAATCAGCACATCTCCCTATCAATAGGAATCGAATGTTTTTTAAACCATTCAAATCGGTTGATCCGTTCTCTCAAAAACTCGCTTGCTATTTTCTGCACTCTTTGCTCCATATCTCCGTAACGGCTGGACCTGCCTTTGCCAAAAACTAATCAGCACATCTCCCTATCGATAGGAATCGAATGTTTTTTGAACCATTGAAATCGGTTGATCCGTGCGCCCGAAAACGTGGACGAAAAAACGCGGACATACAAAACACACACACACACACACACACACACACACACATCCATTTTTTCTGAAGTATGCCAAAATGTTCAGAAACCTTCAAAACGTCGAGAAATGTAAAAATTTTTGATTTCGATTTTTGGACGATTACTATAACTTACCCTACGGGAAGTTAATACTAATAAAATCACACATTTTGCTTAAATAACCTTTTTGCTACGAGAATGTTTTCCAGGGGACAAAAAGCCGCCCAACTACTTGTTTTCAACATTTTTTTTTACTATTTTTAATTACAATATTTGTTACAACTGCTATATATTTTAACATATAGTAACAATAATGAACTTGAGAGAACATGATAGAATGAACTTGAATTTGAGAGAACATAATGAGGTAGAACGTACTTACAATTTGTTAGTTTGCAACACAAACACAAGTTAACAATAAATGCAAAACTTACAATCAAATAGATAATATATTATATATAATATAATATATATTGTAAATATAGTTACCTTTTCCATTTTTGACAAATGTAGGGCATATTTATCATGAGCTCGGAATTGCATAAAACGCATATTGGACGACTGAGATAATTCTGTAATACTCTTAATTCCAGGAAAAAATCTGAAATAGTACCTTCGACAATTAACTATAAATATTACAAATTTTACATCGACAATAATATAAAAAAATTCGTTATAATTATGAGGTTAATTGAATTTGAAGTAGTAATAATATACGCATAAGATATCACTTGTTCATTACCAAAGACATTTCTTCAATATGTGTATCAATTTTCAATAACTATTTATGTAAACTTCTCTCTATTAGTAATTGTTTTCTAAAACTGTTGACATATTTTTAACCATAAGAAAATTTACTATAAAAACTACAATCGTAATGTCGATAATAAGTAAGAAATATGAAAACTCTTACTTGAACATGGTTTGCACGGCAACTATAGTATTACAGTCTGAAAGTGAGTCCTCTTCAGCAGAATTTGACAATTCCTTATTGACAACTACCACGCTTTCCGCCAGCGTTATACCCGCTCTCAAAAGATCGTCTAAACTGAAATATTAATTTTAAATATTTAAAAAGGAATATAATGAGTTATTAATTGCAAATATTTAATAAAACATTTTTTTTACCAATCGATGGATCCCAGCATCCAATACACCAGTGGAAAATAAGCTATAGCGTCCAAGAACGCTACGTCAGGCCTTCTCTCTAGTAACAAAATAATAGGAAACAAGCGTGACTTAGTCCGAAAATGTGCTCTCAACGGTATAATAAAGTTATAAATTCCATTAGATGCATAATCTGCAGCTAAAATGATAGTCTTATTTCGCCACTGGTAATCCTTAGCATTACGATAGCTGCAATGTTCGCACACCTGAAAATTCGAAAACATAACATCGGTTAATTTTTACATGTAATTTAAAATTTTTATTTATTGAGCGATGTCATTATAGTCGAACCTCATTTCTATCATTATTTGCTTGTTCAAAATTAACAAGTTACCTGAGCAAGTTGCAGACAACACAACGGTTTCTTTTCTTTGAGGAGATAGCATAGGGTAGGACTAACGCCTATAAAAGGTGATACCGGAGGAAAACCTTTAACGATTCTGAAATAGAATTGCATAAATGTTTATAAATCATAATAATAGTTAATGTTGAAGTAAATTCTTAAACAGTGGTTGGTGTAAATTTGGTCACCGCGCTGAACTTCACTCTTTGCTGCATTTCGCTAGCAAAGAGATTCAAATCATAAAATGAATATTATTAATGTTAATTATTGATTTATTTTAAATTGTAGATTCTTATCAAATATAAATATATGCATAATATTTATATAAATAACAATTAAAATATGTAAACTATAAGTAATCATTTCTTGAAACACAAATTTCAAAAAGAGTTTGCAAAACCAAGTGCTAACTAACAATAGACTTATCCCGATTGTGGTAGTTTCGGAGTGCTATGATATTACATTTGTATAACTATAATTAATATAATACTGACGCAATTTTCTCCGAAGATGAATGCCAAGTCACATCGTCGCCCAGCTCATCTTCATTTGTACCATCGCACGATAGGTTATCAACCATGTCATTATTTTCGTCGAAGGATGTACTGATATTTGATGAGGTGAGCATGTCAGGCACGGGTAATATTGATGGCCTTCTGCTCCCTAAAATATATATTGTATATTTAAATAAAATGCATTTATATACATATAGACATATATACGTTTGGAATGATTGACCCAGTTTGAAACATTATGTAAACCGTAGTGTTATTACTGCATTTGTTGCATTTTAGGACGCCAAACACAGAATTTTAATCATAAATCTCTATCTAAATCGTGATCACTGATCTGGTAAGACAAGATCTATGTTCTAGCAATAGCGAATACTACGCGTAATAACGATCATTAAGCTCAAAATCTGTTCTTTTTCCTCGTTCCTGAACAAGCAGGGGCGTAACCATAGCCGTATCTGCTGTATCAATTATCGGATCCCCATCAAAAATAACCAAATTTTCTATGTAGACAGAATCTTAAGATAATCATCAATTATAATTTATTTAATAAATCAGGTCGGCAACAAAAAGAATTTAATTTGAATTGTTTGTAAAAATATTGCGAAAGTGACTAATATATAATTATATGTCGAAAAATAATATTTTTGTAATTTTATGGTTTTTTTAATTTGTGAAAAATATTATCATAGCACAATGCAGAATTAGTAAAAATCATAATTGTACTATTATAGTTCGTCCACAGTACGTTGTAGAAAATCGTAGTGCGATGTAGTATTATCAATGAACGTAATTGTATCATGTAGAACGTTTTGAAAGTGGTAATATATAAACCCCCGCGGGGCTCAAACTAATTATAATTATATATATATATATATATATATATATATATATATATATATATATACCTAAGTCTGTTTTTACACGGTAGATTGGTTCCAGAAGAAGCCGTGTAAAAAAAACCGTGTAAAAAAAGACATTGATCTTATACAAAAATGGGTGATTTGTTTCTAATCTCTAAAACCTATTAAAATTAGTGAAAAACAAGAATTTTTAAGAACAAGAATTCATGTTTATTTTATTAAATCAAATATATAATGCTTATTTTCACAAGCATAGTAATTAATGATAAAAAAGATATGCACTCTAATCTTAAAAGTAATATAAATTAAATGTATGGCAAGTTCAGGAACTAAAAAACTATGTTGTGAACGAAAAGAATAGGTTATCTCTTAAATCTGACCAGTAATTTTTATTGTATGCACATAAAGGAAATTCCCCTAAATTAGTGTTATTCACATTTGCTTTGACCAGTAAAAATTGTTTGTAAGCGCTAAAGGGGAATTCACTTAAATCTTTAAGCTAGTATTCGCAAACTATCCATACTATCGATGGTTTCAGACTTTTTGCTTTCATAAATACTTTTTTATGATATGAACATACTTCGCAAAAATTAAATTTGACAAAAAAAATACATAATAAAATTTCAAATCGTGCTAAATAGAATAAAATCGTGTAAAAAAATTAAAAATATTCAATTTTCAACCGTATTATATCAAAACCGTGTACAAAAAGACCGTGTAAAACCAGACTTAGGTGTATATATATTCGGTTACCTCTTCGTTGAGCTAACGATTCTACGCTAAGAGATGAAAGTTCTCCTGGACGAGGCACCTCTAAATTGTTTCCTGTAGCGTAATCGGAATTTGAGGCACTTGTTGTGCTATCTAAACGAACAACACCTGTTAAAAAATAAAAATATCACGTCGATTTCCTTGACTCTTCTTAAGGTAAAAGCATTTTATAGAAAAAACAATTAAAATTTATATTGATACCAGTAATTATGTTGATCGACCAAGTCAGATTGAAATTTTTGTCTTAAAAGTCTTTAGTGTTTATGCCATTTTGTTCTTTAAAAAATATATAATAATCTATAACCTGGGTTTTCGGAAACGCTGCTCTTCTCGATTTCTCGTGTAAGCGCCTCACGAACATTCGAACTTGTCGATTCGGCGCCACGAAGCAATTTCTTTGCCTTCGTAACTACACTTCCAGATTCCACCCGTTCCGAAGAGCCGTCGTCCGTTGTATTACTGCCTCTCAGAAGCTTCTTCGCCTTTTCCATAACTCCTCGAACTTTCTTATGTGTACTTTCCCGTTCCACGTGAGTAGAAGATTCATTGCATTGAGTCGATTTTGACATCGCATCGGAGGCATCGGCTCCATTCAATAGTTTAGTTTGTTCGCCATTTGTGCACATTTTGTCATTCGAATTTTTACCCTGAAGGTGCGTCGTGGACCCGCCTGCAGATCCAGGTACGCTATTTTCATTCACGCTCTGTGCGACTTCTTCATACATCTTTTTATTTTTTGCACGATCTCTGTCAAAGTTTTCTTGTAACTGTTTCAAAGTTCTTTGTCGATATAATTGATTAGAGTGACCGGTAGTAGGCGGAGGCGCTGATTGTCCATTACAATTACGATTACTTACTACAAAAGCCGAATTTTCTTCTTTAGTGATGCTCATATAGTAGCAAGTATCTGTATTTCTCATTATGTGACGTGGGCCGGGGTTAAGGAGTATTGTGTCTTCGTAAAATTCTGGAAGTTGCGCTGGACGAACGGCTACTAGTGAAACTCCATACCTAAAAAATGTCGAATAGAAAAAAACGCATTTAGTCTAAGAATAAAAATTAACGTACTGCTTGGTATAGTTGAAAAACGACATGATTTAGAAACAATACAAAAAGATAATTATATAAAAAACCTAGGTCTTACTTACTTTCTATGAGAATGAAAACTAGCATATGTAAAACTTTTGCCTTCATACTCTCCAAAAAATCTACTTTCGCCTAAAAGTATATGATATATTTCATTTCCAGAACATTTTCCATAAACTCTATGCCATTCTTCTGGTGACTGCTGTCCTTCTCTGCAATAGATTATAATATTATTATTTACTTCGCTATGAATAGTTTTGCAATAAGTAAATAATAGAAGATGTTATGTTCAGGATAGAAGTTATGTTAATAATCCTAGAATTAATACTAATAATAAGTTAACAGTAAAGAAATTAGCATGAGAGTTAGCAAATTAAAAACAATTGCATAAAATTTGATTTGGCATATAATACTTACTGTCCTCGGCTAGTGTGTAAGAGCAGAGTAACCAAAGTGCTTGCTCCTGGACAGGTGCAGTTATTAGCGAGAAGAGCGTATTTGAATTCATCTTCACAGACGACGTGTTCTGCAAATCGCACATGTAACTTGTTTTCGGGGCGAAATATTTGCACGTATTGAGGTACCGATGGAGCAAAATCTTTCACAGCCCATGATCTATATTAAAACAAATAATTTTATAGCCAAACAAATGGAACAAATTCTCGTAATCCTTAAAATTTGAACTAATAACGGTATGAGCTTATCGATGATCCAATCTATATATGTATTTAATATTATTATACGAATATTAATTATGTTATATTTATATAATTCTTCATTTTTATTATTTTATGTTATAAATAGTATTTTCTGACCTTCCCATAGGGTGGGTTGTGATAGTCGTCCAAAAATCAAAAATGAAAATTTTTGCATTTGTTCAAGTTTCAAAGATTTCCGAAAATTTTGGCATACCCTAAAAAAATTGATGTATGTGTGTGTTCAAATTTGTTATGCAATATTGCCCATATAATTAGTAGAATCTTCAATATCTTCATGTAGCATAAGATAGTAATGAAAACACGTCGAATTTGCATAAAAAATAGCTTGTATCAACTTTTTATAACAAATAGCATTTCCATTGTACGAGATTGCTTTTCTGAATGATTTCTGGACACCATAAAATAAAGGAAATAACGGAAAATTTACTGACATCATATAAGTTTGAGTGCTACTATAAATTGATTTTAGGTGTTTTTTATATTATTCATGTTTGTTTAAATTGGATATATGTATGTGTATATACAATTTTCGTGGATGTTATCGGGAGCACGCATCAACCGATCTGAATTTTTCAGAAAGCATTCGAATCCTATTCATGGAGAGACGTGCCGATTAGTTTTTGGCAAATGTAGGAGCAGCCGTTTCGGAGCTACAGAGCAAAGAGTGCAGAAAATGAAAATTAAGTTTTTAAAAGATCAAAGCATACGATTTGCATGATTCAAAAAACATTTGATTCGTAATAAAGTTGGGAAGTAGATATTAGTTTTTCGAAAAAACAGGTCCAGCCGTTTGGGTAATGCAAAGCTAATACTGCAAATAAGTGCAGTTTTTGAGAGAATGAAGTATCTGATTATAAAGGGTCCGCCATATAACTTTTTTTTATTGGTAGCAATTTAGAATTTTTGACAGCCAATAAAAAGTTAGACAGACATTTCAATGAAATTATTTTCGATTATTAACCAGAAGGATTGCACTTTCAAATAGAAAAGATTTAAATTGAGAAAATATTCAGTAGTTTATATATAGCATTTTCAAAAAAAAAGTTATCTGCCGGGCCCTATAATAATTCAAACAATATTCGATTCGTATTGATGAAGAGACGTAATTTGCCTTAAAGCACAAGCATGTTTTAGTATTGCACTGACGATGGATCAAATCGAGACTCTAAACAATGCAAGATTAATTATAAATTACCTAACTATGTATCATTCATTTTATATGCTTTATAAATATCTATATAAATTATCTGAAAGTTTCAGTCTGAAACTGAATTTTCGATTCTTGCAAAATTCTATTAAATGGCATAAATATTGATGCCAATTTACAACTTTTGGCTTCAGCTAGGTTTATGTATTAATTCATTCATTTCATATCTGTTGTGCGGCAAAACTGCAAATAATTGTAGAAGACCTAATACGGCGGCTAATTGAAATGCATTTGTTTTATTTATGCATGCCCTTAACTGAGCATGCGCTCATCTTTACTACGGCATATCATAAACCACACACGCGAAACTCACTAAATAATCGATATCAAGGATAACGGTAATCCGGATATATTTGAATCAGAAATCGAACGGACCAGCCGGTATCGGTAGTGTACATGTGATAGTCACCATTTACGCATAGTGCTGAAATTACTACGATATGTACTACTACGAATGAATCAATAAAACACGAATTAAATTTGTTCAACCAACAAATTATTAATTAACCCTCCGTCGGTCGGCGTGGTCTGGCCAGACTTTTTTCGACTTCAATTAAAAAAAAAATACTTCTAGTAATCCTTGACATTTCTTGACTTTTCCTAAAATTTCATTTGCTGTCGATCAATGAAAAAATCAGGACAAAAAAATGTACAGAAGGATAATTATAAGGATATTAACTTTTTTATACTTCGAACGGTCGGAGTGGTCCAGACCACCCATACATTTTGTATGAAATATACGCTTTTTGATTTATGTAAACCAGTATTTTGTCTTTTTTCTGGTATTTTCTATTCAAACTGTATTTTATATATTCTTTGCTATGTGTTGTAACATAAATATTAGTATTTTCACGACGAGAGTTCCTTGAAAACCTACTAAACTTATTAGTCATCGCAAACATTGAAAATCGGATGAGTAATGCGCACATTATCAACAATTTTTCTACCCGTACTGCGTTCGAAATTTTTTTTAGCAAACCTGTAGTGAAATTTCAAAGGCGACGCACCTCATTTCGTTTTCATTAGAATTTCACATTCATTTCGAAGAAGCCCAAAAAGAATAAATATTGTTTTTCGTTGATATAAAACAGAAAAATAAAAATAATAAAAAATCAATGATTTTTTTATATTCTCTGATTTTTTTACATAATATAATATAATATACAATTTTTTATTATAAGCAAGCTCAACACATGCAAAAGACGGTAAGAAAAAAAAAATCAAAACTATAAATATTTAATACTAATAATAGTTTATATATAAGACACCAAAAACTTATTTACCCTATATAAATGCATGTAAAATGAATGGTGGTCCAGCCAGACCACTTCGACCGTTCGAAGGTGAATAAATATCCGACCGACAGAGGGTTAAAAGTTGTTTAAATGTTTCTAAAATTTAAGCCAAAACGGATAAAACAAACCATATTATAATATTTACAAAGTTAAAAAAAATCAAAATGATAATCCTTTCACTACTAGGTAACGACCTGTGTGTAGGAAAGTCACCAACAGACCAAATTCAGTGTGTCGACCGTCGCTTCAATATTTATCACTACTCTGCGATCAATTGTTGAGAATTTTTAGTTTGTTATTATAGTTTTTAATCCTTCAGAAGTAAAAAGATATTAAAATATTTTGTGTAACATATACTTGTGCAGCTTATCGGTACAGGAATATCACTCCTGTGAAAAACACTCTTGCAGAGTAAAATAAAAATAATGGGCAACACTGCCCCAGGACAGGTCCGTGAGCTGAGTTAAACTCCAACTTAATTCAGAAAAGAATAGTGAGAGAGATTGTCATTTCACACCGCAGTGCCCGAAATGGGCTATTCTCAATTAAATACAATATTTTATGTGATGATTCATTATTTTATTTTGACATAACTACACTAATTAACTAAATAAATCCAAATATTGAATTATTTCACTAATGCTAGTTCATCGAGTATTATTTATTTCGAAAAGAAAAAAAAGTTGAAATTTGTAATAAATTGAAGTCCTTAATCCAGCAATCATAACCACGTGTTCTCAAGCTATTTTTGTATACAGTTCTCAACTTGAGTTTCTAGCGAAAACCATCCTTCACATATATGAAAAAAGGCTATTTTCATTTGAGATCGTATTTAAGGAATATAATCTCAGCCAAAAATCTGGTATCACTACTGCTTGACATCGAACCGGAAACTGGTGGCTGCTAATTCTTGTTCTTACCACGAGATCACGGTAGATTCGAAGTCAATGTTTAACATTCAAATTTGTTATGCTATGTTAATATTGCCCATATAATTAGTAGAATCTTGAATTAAAGTAAGAATTCATGTAGCATAAGATATTAATGAAAACACGTCGAATTTGCATAAAAAATAGCTTGTATCAACTTTTTATAACAAATAGCATTTCCATTGTACGAGATTGCTTTTCTGAATGATTTCTGGACACCATAAAACAAAGGAAATAACGGAAAATTTACTGACATCATATAAGTTTGAGTATTACTATAAATTGATTTTAGGTGTTTTTTATATTATTCATGATTGTTTAAATTGGATTTATATAGGTGCACAACACAAGATCAGCGATAACATAGTAGGAAGCATGAAGTTAGAAGTCGATTATTTGCATTGTATAAAAATGTACCTTGTAACTATATCTACAAATTTATATAGCTATCTTAATGAATTATATGTGTTATTTGGTTGATTGTAAACGTGCCAGAGGACACGTAATAATGTGTTCAAAGATAAAATACTAAAACAGCGTCCCAATCAATAACTTGAAATATTCATTATTCTGCATTATGGTAATTAATACTTATATGAGCTCTACCGTTCTAAAGTGTCCTGCAATTGCATTCATTATGTTCGTGTCAACTAAACATTAAAAAGAGACACTCGCTGTACAACACTTTGCACTTGGGCTTAACTACGTGTTAAAATACAGTTTATTGTTATGTCTGAATCGTAAACTGTTGCCAATGATGTCATTTCAATAGTCACCTTAATATAGTATGTTCATCAGCAGCTGACTTATCAGCATAATTTCGTGCAGCAAGAACGAAACACGCTTCGGCCTCGTTCATTCTTGCTCTCGCCAAATCGCTATCCTTGAGACACGATCCTTGTATGTAAATAACTCGTTGGGCCCATATAGGAACCTATGGAATAATAAAAGTCAAATAAACTGATGCATAACATTTTACTGTATAATAATCATCGGTAATAATGCATTTCTAATCGTATAATAATTGTTGAAATTACGATTTAAATTGTTCCAGTTTATGAGTACAGGTAGTGATTAAATGTATAATAGGGTAGGGCAGAGCACAAAGGTCCAATTTTATTCTGAGCAATTATATCGTGAAAACTAAACCAATTATAACACAACAAATACCACATATCAAACGAACAAGTATCTGACTATGATCAGTAAAACTCCCAGCTAAATAATCATTGTAAAAATGTGCTTTTTATACTGCTTTTCAAAAATTTATAACATGGTCCTTTTTACTTTATATGCGGGGAAAATTGAGACGGCCAGGGGCAAATAGGAATACAATTTTAAAGAAATTTTACAAAATAATAGCTACATTATTTAACAAATACAAAATATAAATGTCATAAGTGCATTTTTTATACAAAGATAACACTGAAAATAATCTTGATATGGTATTTTATCAAAAATATTCATTATCAGAATTAGAATAATTATTCATTCATTCCATCTCTTGTAGAATAGTTTTTTTTAAATTAATTAACTTTTGCATTTGTTATTTTTTAATTCTTACACTTTTGCGAGAGTTGGTCCTTTTTACCCCACCCAGGTGCAAGCTTTTATAAAGATAATATAAAAAAACTGTTGAATTTAACTTAAAATTAACAATATATGTTATAAGACAATAAAATAACGTATACTTAAAAATTATATTAAGGTCTCATAAACTAAGCAATAGTGCTAATACCACAAAAACTAACAATGAAATCAAAAACTTTTGTAATGGATTTTCAAACATTGCCATTTTTCTCCCGATAACAACGTCGTAAAATTTAAGGTGATGGCTGGTATGACTTTCAAATATTGTTAAAAAATTCTTAACTTTACGATTTTTGAGATGTCGGTGGTAGACCTTTTTACCCGCGGATCTTTAAGCTCCGCCGCTCTACCCTAATCTATTATATATTTTATTATTCTATTATATATATTATTCTATTATACTAAACTATTTTCATGTCGAACAAAATAATTTTATTTCAATCAACTTTAGATTGGGAAAACGAAATCTGTTTTATGATTTAATTCAAAAGTCCAACAGTTCATTCTATACAAAAATATACATAATGCGTAACGCAAGTACAAAAATTACAGACTTTATAAAAACTCATAATTAAACGTCAATCACAATAATAAATCCGAGTTTTACATTTTTTTAAAATAAATTTAGATGGCTTTGAATTGGCTTTGAAAATTAGACTGTGAGCAAATATTCTTTTAATAATAAATGTGAATAAATTTTTTGTAGTAGAGTAGAGTAGAGTGGGGTTAAAAGGTCCGCTGGTAAACTGTCCAGCGCCGATATCTCAAAAATAAGTAAATTTAAAAAATCCGTGACAATATTTGAAAGTAGAGGGAAAAGATGTATAACCAGCCATCACCTTGATTCTTACGACGTCGCTATAGGGATTAAAACAGCAATGTTTGAAAATCCATAACAAAAGTGTTTTCTTTCGCTGTTAGTTTTTGGTTGTGAAGACTATTGTTTAGTGTATGAGACTTCGATATAGTTTTTAAGTAAACGTAATTTGATTGTCTTATATGATGTATTGTTATTTTTAAGTTAGATACAACCCTTTTTTATATAACCTCATGTAGGTGGAGTGAGAAGCACCAACTAAACCATTATTAAACAATAAAAATAGTAAATAAAAAACTAAAATTAGTTAAAAAAGTAATTTACAATAAATAAAATAAATTGATAGTTCCAACTCTGCTGGTGAATATTTCTGACAAAATACCAGATCAAGATTGTATGCAGTGTTATCTCTGTAAAAAATGTTCCCAAATTTGTATTTTGCATTGATTAAGTAATGTAGGCATTATTTTCTAAAATCCCTTTAAAATTAAAAATTCAACATTGGGACCTTTTTGCTCCCTGGCCGTCCCATTTTAGCCCGCTTATGGGGTAAAAAAACAGGTGACAAATTTTTAAAAAATTACCAAAAAAACATGATTCTGCGATGATGAATTTTAGCTGAAAATTTTACTGAACATAGTCAGATAGCTGTTTGTTTCGTATAATTATGTTATTTGTTGTGATATTATTGGTTTAGTTTTCACAATATAATAGCTCAAAGTCAAATAGGACGTTTGTGCCCCACCCTACCCTACTCTAGTATATAAAATTGCGTATCAATTAATGACATTATTGTGTTTCTATAATAATTGATAATAATATTCTATATAGTTCTACCTGAAGTATCATGCGCATTGTGGTGTCTAATTCCATAGGCGATAGGAGTACCACATAAAAGTCTTGTAGAAGAGGATGAGCATAAAATTCGTTCAGAAAATCCATGATCGTGTCCGCATGTAAGGTCGTCGAGCAGACCACGACGTGCAGCTCGCTCTGGGCACGGTGCGAACTGTACGAACCTCCGAGCTTCTGACGTTCCATCCACGTGAAAGCCAACTGCTCGAACTGCATTGGAAATTTTAATTATATCGTATTGCATTTCAACAATCATTTCATTTATTTATCCATATCGAACTGGTTCATTTAAAACTAGCTGTAAGTGGAATTCTGTCTTAAAGCAATTAAGGCATCGTGCCTTAAGGCAAATTGCTGGAACTTCCCGTACCAAAAATTTATTAACGATTAACATTTTTAAAAAATTTTACTTCGAAAAAATAAGATTTTTAAAAAACTATAAGTTGGACAAAAAATTACTTTTTTTGAAAAAAAAATTATTATTTTTTTTTAATTTTTTTTTAAATTAAAAAAAAATGTTTTCTTTATTTTAACATATTTTGGAAGATCTGAACGTTTTTTCAAAGCAATCGTACTGCTTTAACTGCAAAGAGACAAAATCCATAGGAATGTAAACAAAATTTATACTTATTGTTAAAATCTCTATAAAATATCTGATAATTTGATGTGCATATGTCTAATGATCATTTTTGACCGCCAAATGGCATTTTTTTTACTTTTTTCGTTAGATCTCCGAAACCGCTAAACCTATCTTTATGAAAATTTGATCAAGTCTTCATCTTGTCAATACAAGTAAAATGTTTTTTGTATTATTAAAATCGGACGCTCCGTTCTCTTAAAAACTGAGGTATTGTTTTTGGCACTTTCTGCCCCATATCTTCGGAACGGCTAGACCTGCCTACGTGAAAAACTAACACATACATCCATTTTTTCTAAGGTATGCCAAAATATTCAGAAACCTCTGAAACGTAAAGATATATAAAAAATTTCATTTTCGATTTTTTTGCGATTACTATAACTTACCCTACGGGAAGTTAATAATTGCTACAACTAAAAGTAATATAATGTTATATACAGGTAACCCTCGTACAACACGGTAGTTACGTTCCAGAAAACAAGCATGTTATGCAAATTCGTGTTATAAGGGACAAAGAACTAGTACAAAAAAGGGGGTTACGTTCCAAGAATTCAAAAAAACATGCTACATATCATGATTTTATAATAAATATTGTTACTTTTATTCATTTTTTTAAGAAGTAATATACATTACTTGAATTATATAATTTTTTCATCATAATTATCATATACTGTCATAATTAGCATTAAGTGCTATCGAACATGATCCTTTTTTTGCAAGATATCCTCATCCTCTGAGCAGTTTTCTATACTACCTTCAGATCAGTGCATTATTTTTTGCAGAAAAATGTCTGCGTTTACTTGCTTTTAAAAACTGTTACTGTTAAAAAACTTTTATGCTCATTTTATTTAAGGAATTGCTTAAGAATTATTTTTATAATCCTAGAATTTTTTTTCGATAGAACATACGCGCTCTAATAATATAATATACCAATTTAGTTATCTTTTGCATTAGTTTCATCACATTTATTGAGCTATTGTACGGCGATTTTACTAATTTTAGGAGTTTAATTAAATAACGTTTGCTTTTCATAGGTTTTACGATATTTCTTATTTTATTAAAACTTTTCTCAATTCTTAAACCGTGTTATGCGAATCGAAAGTACCGTGTTATGAGGTGGATGGTCTCAATTCTTAAACCGTGTTAGAGCGAATCCGTGTTATAGAAGTACCGGGCGTTACCTGTTTATATATATTTTTATATTTTAAGAAAGAATAGTGTGACAGGTTTCCCATTACCATTTTACATCGCAGCGTTCGAAATAGACTTATTTTCAATTAGAAACATATTATTGATTTATATTTTCAGGTAAAAATGTAAGTCGCTACTGCATGATATCAGGTCTTCCATAGTGAGGGCTTATATATATGTATATAATAATTTATTTACACAAACATAATAATTTATATATTCTAATACCGCAAAGATTTCACGCGAAACAAAATCACGATTCTTTTTTAATTTTTGTAATCCACGACCTGAAAAAAACTGTCCTGAAAAAAACTGTTTGAATGTTATGAGCTTTTAAGTTCAATGTTGGTGAAACTAGAGCTTGGGTGAAATTATGATCATTTTTCGGTTATTGTGGTTCACTTTTATTAGTTTTGTTAATTTAAGCTTTGGAACCGTAACCGGAAATAACATTTATAGAAATACAGTAAAAAATATCACAATTGCCTCAAGTTTTCAAGTATTAAAACTTCTTGCTGAACTATGAATTTAAATTTTAAAAAACGGTCGACTTTGAGAGGCTTCAAAACAAATGTACTAAAGTAAACCTTTATCGCACAATCTTTCACCAAAATCTGATCTTTACCCAAAAACTAAACAGGAAGATTGCCAACTGATATCTTTCAATCGGATTCTAGATTTTTCTGAACATATATAATAATTAATTCACTCTATTTGCTGAAAATTTATCTTATTTTCAATGCTTAGCCTTTGACAGTATTTAGTAGCATTTTATATGGAAACTGGAATGTAACATAGCCTTATCGTAACATTGAAATTAGTTTCAGAATAAGCACTTGCAATGGTTATCAATGTGCCCCGAGAACATTGTATATGTTATATGCGGCATGCTTTACAGTGGATAAACCGACCATCAATATAATTTGTTTAAGCTGCTCTTTCGATTTAATATTTAATTCGAATATTTCGAGAATTAAAAAAAAATATATATATTTTCAAAAATTTCCAAATTCTCGAAATATTAAAAAAAAACGTATTTTTTATATTCCAAATAATTTTAAACTTCGAAAAAAAATTTAAAATTATCAAAAAAATTTAAAATTATCAAAAAAAAATCTAATTTTAAAAAACATGGAATCTGTAAAGGTACATAAAAGTTGTTTATAAAATACGCTCATCGCCCAATTTAAAAAGCACTTATAAATTTACAGTATGTATTTATAATAAATAATCTATTTGAAAATCTTCAAAACACTTATTGATTATTTTCATTACTCGAATGTTTAATTAAGGCACGATGCCATGCGGCCCACTAGTTATCGTTTATACATGTTCTGTGGTGTATCGTAGGTTGATTACAGTTGACGTCCATACTTACAGAAATAGAACCCGAAATGGATGAAATAAAAAATGTTAAACAAATTAAATTTATTTATAAAATTACAGATATTATAAGTATATTTCAAAGACAAGAATTGGAAATCGTATTGATTCGTTTTTAGTCAAAGCGAAAATTTTAGTTTTTAAATAATAATATATTTTATCTAAATAGTTGACTCTCAATTGATTAAGATGATTATGTATACGTATTGGGAAGTACGTATATATACAACTTGCCTTAAGGCAAAATGCAATTATAACTAGTTCTACTTATATTTTATTATATATAGCTTTTGGACAACACAGATCGAAGAGTGTCTAAATTGAATTACAATCGCGCTAATAAATACAAACAACCAATTCGAATTTTTATAACAACATTTAGAATGACATAGTAGTTAAATTACATTAATACGCCCTGAAAATGATGGTGCAATACGTGTCATTCACGTTTAAATAAATACATAATGAAATACCAAATTAATTTATTATAATTATCTATAATTTAAGACTTAATTTTACTTCATATGACAGCAATTTAATATCATTTATTTATCAAAGTTGAAAAGGTTTACCACTAAATAACCTTTTAGAATATTAAATGTTCATGTATGCTCAAAATGACTGAAAGTCTGTTTTTATTATATCTCAATATAATATGTTCTATTAAGAATATAATATATTCTTACTTTTTTTTTAATATAAAGATTTATCATAATCATTTATCATCAAATAATCTGATGATACCGTTCATCCTAAAATTGCAAAATCTTTGCGTTTATTTCAACTGCCGCAAAGTTTATACACATATGAAAATTTGTTTATATATGAAAATTTCTTTATATATGAAAATTCGAACGTAATATGCGGGATTGATGCAGGAAACGAAGCAAATCCACAGGAGATTACAACAATATAGACAGATATTAGAGTGGGCTGAGCCCAACACATGAACAAGTTTATTCTAATATATAGTTATTAAATGAAGCTGCATTGCGCGAGGAGAGTTTACCGTTTGTCCCCACCATGACATCTGTGGGCGAAGACTGGATTTGATGTTTTCACGATCAGTTGTAAAAATTGAGAATTTCAAAGATTCACATTTGCTTTCAATGTCAGCAAATCCTTTATAATTTAAGTTTCAGTAACATTTTAAAGACTTCGTGCGACCATCATTGAAAATTTACTACGTTTTATTAATAATATAATGCATTAGCACTCGCTTTCGTTTCATATTTTTGTGCTTTCATCTAACTAAAATGTTACGACCCTACGACAAATATTTCAAATTTAAAAATTTATCAAAGTTTGAGAAAATATTAGAGAAAAAATTCATGTCAAAAGTTGCTTTTGTGATGTGATGAGTCAAACATTACCAATTCATTAAAGTTTAAAATAATAAGTTACAATTTTAGGGCATACAAGCACGTGTCTGTGTAATATAATTAATATTAACTATATTAATTATATTGCAGATAATTTAAATGTGTTGTATTGGAAATCGCAATGTTTAGATTTAATTAAAAGCGATAACTTTATTTTTGAAATAAACAGTTGAAAATTTTATCTAAATATCTAAATTTCAATTTTGATTGATTAAGTAAATTCTTACACATTTCGGGAAGTTTATGCAACTTGCCTTAAGGCTAAATGCTCCTTTCAACTAGTTAACTTCCCGTAGGGCAAGTTGTAGTAATCGCAAAAAAATCGAAAATGAAAATTTTTATATATTTTCACGTTTCAAAGGTTCCTGAATATTTTGGCATACCTTAGAAAAAATGGATGTACGAGTTGTGTGTGTGTGAGTGTGTGTGTATGTGCGTGCATGTGTGTGTGTTCGGATACAAATTTCCGTCGACGATTTCGGGAACACGGATCAACCGATTTGAATAATTCAAAAAACATTCGATTTGTATTGACAAGGAGACGTGCTGATTAGTTTTTGGCGAGGGCAGGTCTAGCCGTTCCGAAGATACGGGGCAATAAATGCCAAAAACGGTAACTTAGTTTTTAAGAGAACGGAGCGTTCGATTTTAATAATTCAAAAAACATTTTACTTGTATTGACAAGATGAAGAATTGATCAAATTTTCATGAGGGCAGGTCTAGCGGTTTCGGAGATCTAACGAAAAAAGTAAAAAAAAAGACATATGCACATCAAATTTTTAGATATTTTATAGAGATTTTAACAATAAGTATAAATTTTGTTTACATTCCTATGGGTTTCGTACCAATGTCTATCCGTTAGACAGCGACGCGGCGATTACGCGCTTTATATTTTGTCTCTATGCAGTTAAAGCAATACGATTGCTTTAAAAAAAGTTCAGATCTTCCAAAATATGCCAAAATAAAGAAAACATATTTTTTCAAAAAAAAAAAAAATCAAAAAAAAAGAAGTAATTTTTTGTCCAATTTATAGTTTCTCAAAAATCTAATTTTTTCGAAGTAATTTTTTTTCAAAAATATTCGTTTTTAAAAAAATAATTTTTGATACGGGAAGTTCCAGCAATTTGTCTTAAGGCACGATGCCATGCGCCCCACTAGTTATACTATAATTCCGGACTAGCTAGTAATATATAGGTATATGAAGCTATCGAACTTACTTGAGTAGGCAGGACTATTAGCGCTACGCATATCATGACCAGCATGTAGAGTTGCGAAGGCCAGATGTCCGGGACCACGTCTCCGTAGCCGACGGTTGAGAAGGTCACCACGACGTAGTAGGTGCTCTGAAACAGATTCAGGTGCCGATGGCCGGCCCGCTGAAAGTGCTGGATGCCGCACACGCTAAGGAATAGGTTCAGTTGAAGTTTATTTAACTTTCAACTAAATACCAGACGATGAAATTAACCGCAGTTCGAATTCATTATTGTACTAATTAAAGCATGCTGCATATGTGCAGAGATCATAACTTTTTAAAATTTTCAAAGGTAAAAGTTAATGCAAATTAACATAAAAAATTATAAAAAATGGTAAAGTTCAATTCGATATCGTTGTCGTTATTGTTTAAATTAGGGCAAAAATTATAATCTTGTAGTATTGTCATACGTGTCTTTTAACATATGCTTTTTTATAAATAAATAAATATTATAAACAAAAACTGCGGAATGCTAAATGTTACATTAAGAAAAAAAGTTAAAATCAAATTAATCACCGATAGTACCAGCAATAAAATAAATATTGTAGTAGTATTTTATAAATAAATTTCATACATTAAAAATAAAATAAGTAAATGTAGAACAATCTTTTGCATATACAGTAGAACTCCAATTATCCGAATTAATGGGGACCGGAACCGATTCGGATAATCAAATATTCGGATAATCAAATATTAGGAGTTTTTTTTTTAAATTGCCATTGGAGAGAAAAAAAGTTACGTTTTGATATTAAACTATTTTTTTATTGAATTAAATGAAAGAAACATGATATTTTCACATGTTTTAAATATAAATAAAATGTACTTATGTACAAGTTTAGAGATAAAAATCATTGTTTTTTAAACATCTCCGTCAAATCAAAACAAACAATGTGCCTACACTGGCTTCGCTGGTGGAAGAATAATATCGCACTTAGACTTTTTTTAGACATTTTTTTTCTGAAAGTGATTCGGATAATCGGCGATTCGGATAGTCGGAGTTCGGATAATTGAAGTTCGGATGATTGGAGTTCTACTGTATTACCAGTCAAATAAACTTTTCAATATAATTGGAACAAGTTGTTTGTTTATGTAATAATCCAATTAAAGAATATTATTATCTCCTGATTGAGTATTTTAAACTGCACTGAATCATTTTCGTTCTCTGACTATAGTCTATTGATAAATATACTTTCTTACTTACAAAGATAATCTCTCACCTAGTAAAAACCAGACAAAGCAGAGTAGCTGATAGAATCAATAACTGCTGTGAGAGGGCCGATTGAGACTTTTGCATAGCCCGATGCAGATCATTCTAAGAAAATAAAAATACATAAAACAATGGTTGAAACATTGAATAGGGCAGGGCGAGGCACAAAGGTCCAATTTGACTTTGAAACCAAATCAATTATATCGCAACAAATAACACATACCAAACAAAACAACTATCTAACAGATTCATCATTGTAGATATGTGTCTTTTGCTGTTTTTGAAAAATTTGTCACATGGTCCTTTTTACCTCATAGGCGGAAACAATTAAATAACCTATACTTAAAAATTATGTTATAGTCTCATAAACTAAACAACTGTGCTCACAACTAAGAAAACAAGGAAAAAAACTTTTGTTATGAATTTTCAAACACTGTCGTTTATCTTCCGATAGCAACGTCATAAAAATCAAGGTGATGGGTAGTTATACATAATTTTCCCTCTACTTTCAAATATTATTGTTCAAAAATTCCCAACTTTACTTGTTTTTGAGATATCGATGGTAGACCTTTTTACTCGCGGACCTTTAAGCCCAGCTCTACCCTACTGAAAAAAAGCTTTTATAAACATGAGTTTGGTGTTAATGTCTACTAGATTAATACGAAGTAGACATGTATGTACATATACATACATACATACATATATATATATATATATATACATATATATATATAATTAGTTGTCTTATAATGATCAAAACGAAAGATTTTTAAAGATTTTATTTAGCCTACTGCTGTGTTATTTAGTATCACTCTTGTGTGAATATCTACTATGAGGTTTCTTATGCATATTATTAATTGTAACTATAAGGTTTTTTATATTAAAATTATTAAATAAATCTGAAAAAGCATTAACTATCTCCTATATGAAATTAATGAAAATTTAATTGTTAAGTCTTTGTCGTTAAAGATTTGCTTGATATTATTTTTTATATTGAATCATAATAATCTATAATAAATAATTTTGGCACGTAACTTAATTTTTTCTCAATGTTTTTACTAAGTAGGTATTTTGGTAAGATAAGAGAAAAGAAATGTTTTTACATTATTGATGTGCATATACCTATATGAAAATATAGATATAGGACAATGTCATATTATGATTTATGATATATGGTTTACCATAACACATTAATATGAAATCTAAAAACCAATGCTAAAATTTATCACATTGTTTCCAGTGCCAAAATGAAATGGCTGGGGATGCTAATGTAAATTATGACCAGCGTAGTTTCTTGGCACGTGCCTCAACTTGTTCTTTTCTATTTGCAATAAACTTCTTTAATATACTGCACTACCATCTTTTCTACTATCATCATTGCAAGCAATATAGCATTCAAAAAAACATTAATGGTATCCAGTAAATTTTAATTTGATTTTTTAATTATAAAAACTTCAGAGAAATGTTTTCTTCGAATGCATAATTAAAATATGCCTTGACAGATGTTAAGAGGATATTAACATCTAAATTACAATCTTGTTTTTGTTTAAAGCTGTTACTCAAGGGGAGCAATGACAGGATGTACTTGATGTGACAAGATTTGACGCGACATAATAATGCATACATTATTTGCTGTTTGTACATAAGCTATGTACGAACCACCAGGTTTTACCAGATCATGTAAATAATCATTTATTTGTATTAAAAAGTAGCAAAAGTTTTAATCGTGCATTCAAGCATCGATATTGAAACCAACCAAACATTTGTTGAAAATCATAAATAACTAAGAAGAGAATCGACTCGGTAACTTATGATTCTGTAGATAGAAGCTTTATAAGCTTTATAGAGGTTCGTGTCGCATCATATTACGGCTTTTGGGTTCTACGGTATGTTTTTTGGATAGCATAGTAAAGGGGTATGTGTTTCCTCTCCAGTGCGCCTACTGTTGGAATCCTTTCATAGTATTCGAACCGTGAACGATCGATCTGTATTTGCTTGACCGCGTACTTTTGAATCATATGACCTAAAGCGAAAGTTCAATCGCACATATTGATACAAGATAATAATAATAGTAATAAATAAAAATACAGCCAAACATGCGATTGCCTCATATACTAAGATTCAATACTAAGCACCTGTTTACTAAAATAACACCACTTATATTTTTACTAAAATATATTAATTGTTAACAATTTCATTAAAGTCTTAAGCATTAGTATATGCAGTCTTGATAAATATACCCAGAAATAGCTCATTCAAATTACAAGTTCTGCAGTGTCAGAACTTCAAACCTAAGTATAAACTATCTACAAAAATTTTCACAAAATTTTCTTCAAAATTCCACACACACAAATAACTAATATATATATATATATATATATATATATATATATATATATTGTTTCCAAGTTCCAGCTTGTTCGAACAAATCCAACAAATTTCATGTTTCAACAAATCTAAGACTCTACAATCTAATATACATACATACATATATATTTTTGGGGCATCTATCTGATAATAAAAAAAAATAGATTCGTATTCCCGAAATCGTCGACGAAAATTTGTATCCGCGTACACATACACATCAATTTTTATTAAGGTATGCTAAAATGTTCAAAAACCTATGAAACGTGAAACAATGCAAAAATTTACGTAAGATATTTTTGTAATTACTATACCTTACCCTTCTGGCAGTTAGTTAATGAATATCACCCCGAAATTAATTGAAAAACTAAACACATTTAAATATAACACACACTAATATAATGAAAATAAGCATAATATAAGTTTTACTATTTTTTATTTCAGAAAACCCATATTCTTAGTGATGATCATAATAAATATTTTATGTGTATTTGTCCTTTCCCGTAAACGTTGTGTTCTTGCTTTATTTTTTCTGTACCGATGTTTTTGGAGCTTTTAATAAATATTTTTTGTTTTTTATATTCGATGTCTTGAGAATTTAATATCGGTTGTCATAGCCCAAATGCTTCACAAGGTTGGATCGCAGCACGATTCGCAAGATGAACAATCCGATACTGTTAATTATACAATATTTGTACATGAAGTAAAATAATATACGTCAAACTTATATAGAGTTTTTTGTATAATATATATATATATATATATATACTTGAAAACTTAAATTTGTAGAGCAAGTTTTAAAAATCAATAAAAACGATAAAAAATTAAAATATTAAAACATTTTGAAAAAATATATAAAAAGTATTTAATTTATATCTATGTATATTGGTATATAATAAGTATGTATTATAAATATTATACTATACTGACAATACATAATTAATGTTAATGGAATAAATTTCATTAAAAGTACATATTCATACTACTATTTACTATCTATTCAATTTTGACAGTAAGGATAAAAAATACGCAAAACCTATTTCAAAATGATTTCCAATTTATAATTCATATATACATGTATATATATGTATATATATTTTATATGATGACAAAACATTACATTTAGCATGTTATTTAATAAATTATCTGAAGTTTGACTCACCTTCAAATTAAATTCTTCGTTTTCCAATGTATGTTTTCGTTTTTTTTATCAATATTAGTTATGAGTTTTTTTTAATTTGTTAAATATTCAATTTTTCACACCATTGTTTATTAATTTTGAAATTTTTTTTTTTCATTTCAAGTTTTTATTTTTTTACAAAATGATATCATTCATTTTTTTTTTTGAAAATTGTGTGTACTAGATATTGCTCATTTCTGTTCAATTTGTTACTTTTGTTTATGATATAGAGTCACATAGGCATGTATTTATATATCACAGTAAAAATCTAGTCGGAATATGACATTTGACATTAAATTATTTTAAATTAAAATTTGAGATCGGAAAAAATGTAAAAGTTGAAATTTTGAGAATATTAATTTTTAATGATTTTTGTGAGAAAGTAAAATGTATCATTTTAAAAGACGATACGAGACTCTGAATTGTATAAAAAACAATCTGTGTTAGCTATATGAAATTGAATTTTAGGATTTGCATAAATGTTTTCGAATCAAGTGTTTATAATATAAAATTAATATTGGTTTGCGATCGATGAAATACATTTTGTATAAAAAATTAAAACATAATAATTATATATAATTAATTCTGCAAATAAAATTAATATTTAAAGCATTTAATGATGAAGTTTAAATTAACTTTGTAATAACTCCTATATAATATATAATACCATAATATACATATATAATTAATATTAATAGTTTAGTTTTATGTAGGCCATATTACTATCATTTGATACTCTATTAAAAGCGTAAAACTATAAATTAAACTTATTAAATGACTTGTTTATTAAAGTAATAATTTTGAATTAAATCATTTAGAGAGAAGCAAACATAAAACAGTTTTCAATAGAAATTTAATCATGTTTCGAGCTTGTATACTTCACTAATTAATACTATGACCTTAAAATTAAGCATTGAAAATAATTTCATAATTACTGTAAATATCTCATTCATTCAAAACGATCTGTACTATCTATTCAATTTATTTTCATATATACGTGGGAAGCAATTTACCATTGAAATAGTTAATTTTTATTATAGCTCACTCAATATTCATTATGATATTTTTAGCTACAAATAACGCATCTTGAAATCTACTGTCCCATTATTTCTGATAATGTTAGGTTGTTTTTAAGAAATTATCTGCGCAAAGATTGAGAATTTTGCCAGAAATTGGCTTATACGCATTCGTACTCACATACACATTTTTCCAATTTTGATCTCAAACGATTCAGAATTACTCGAAACGCCCAGAAAACATAAAATCAGCAGATCGTATTTTCTGACGCAAAAATAAACTTTTTCGGGTTAATAAATTATCTAAAGTGATTCATCTTTAATATAGTTAATAATATATTTCATATTGCTAACAGATTTTTTCATACAATTCAGAGTCTCGTATCGTCATTAAAATGATACATGTTGCTTTCTCATAAAAATCATTTGAAAAAAAAAAATACTATACTCAAAATTTCAACTTTTACATCTTTTTTCGATCTCAAATTTTAATTTATAATGATTTAATGTCAAATGCATATTCCAACTAGATTTTTACTTAAATG